GCAAAACAAAGAAAAAAAAGGTGCCATTTGGGAAAGTAATGCTAAGAATATCACATCATCTTTCTCATATATCAAACATGGGTCACACTGCTAAAGGATTAAACTGTTATGTGACCTCTTAGTTAATAACCACTATACCATAAAATAAAAGTATGACACAGGCATTAAAATGTGACAGGAATATAAAATGTTTCAAATAGCTGCCCATAGGAGATTTAGATAGTTAAACTGAGTTCACTGACATTATTTTATATTGTGAAACAACTAGAATAACTGAATTGGAGCTAGATAAAAGTAGCTAGATAAAAATGCTTGATATCTGGTTATTTTAATAATTTCTCTCACAAATTTGAAAAGAGTTGTGGACTGCTAACTAACATAAAGAAATGTTTTTCCAATAGAAACTTGACTTATTTAGATTAGCAAATTTAAGCCCTAATAGAATAGGAGACTGAGATTACAAAAAAAAAAAAAAAAAAGTCTCAAAAAAAAAAAAAAAAAAACCCTCCGGATATATATTTGATCAAGAATCTAAAATAGATTAAAATCAAATATTCTATTCCATCAGAATGTATATGAAAATAGTACATGTACAAGCTAAAATAAATAATATGTAGAAAAAATGATTTAAGAAACCTTGCTAAACATATTTTTTATAGGATTCTTGATGGAAATGGAAAACCATTCAGAAAACCAAAGGCCAATATTATTTTTAAGGCACTTAATTCAGATAAGAGAAGTAGGGAGAGGTTCTAAAATATCAAGAATTATTTTCATTATAAACAGCATATTCTAGGAAACTAAAGGTAAAAAAGAAATTCGATTCTATTTTATCCAATCTTCCTGGAAGAAATTCCAGCAACAGCCTGTAATATAAATGGAGTGTGGAAACCAGCTCACAATTGTAGGCCTGGGAAAGAACAACACTGCCTAGAAAATGAAAGTTGATCAAGACTGGAAATATTTTACCCACTTTCATTTAAATCTTCATTTTTTTTTTTTTTCCCTGCTGGTTTAGGAAACAGAATACAGTATAATGGGATGGTAGAGAATGTGAACTCTAAATATTTTGAAATGGCCCCACTGACATGCTTAATATAATTTTCTGTGACTAAAAAACACTAGGCATTTGATGTGGATATTCTGCCAGATAAAATATGATTTAAGAAACTCAAAAAAATTACTTTTATTTGTGGTTTTTGTCCTCCCATTATGTAAGATTCACTTTAATCAATTGACAGATGCTTTAAAAAACGATGATGAAATTTAAAAACAATATTACTAAACTAGTGTCCTGCTGTCACTGAAATGCGCACCCACCTCATCTCAGAGAGGTAAACATTTATTGCAACATTGAAGACCTGAAAAAGCAGATACTTGCTGCTTTCACGTCTTACTCAATCTGCATCCAAAGGTTCCATGATCATACACACTTTTAGAAAGCATCCAGGCTAAATCATTCATGTAAATTGCAAACCCCCTGACAAGCCAATTGATTCTGACAAGTCAATGCAATTAAACAATGGGGTCATGTTGTATTATATTTAAGTTCTAAATAGGCCTTAATTAAAGATATCCAAAGTTTCCTAAAAGGAACAATTAAGCATCACTATGAATTATTTTAAATTATTGTTCTTAGAAGTTTGGTATAACATTGAAATGCTTAAAACCTGAGTAATTTTGATATGTCAGTCCCGTAGTCACTAACCTTCTGCATTAATGCCTTGTTGATATGTAAATTACTAACTTTATGAGGTTTTCAAAGTGATTATTATGCCAATATTTCAACTGGAGTAGTAAGTAACACTAGTGAACATATGCTGTATGCGATTCTTGTGCATTATCTCATTAATCTTCACACCAGTCTTAAGGGTTAAGAATTGCCAGTTTTAAAACTATCATTATAATTCCCATTTTACAGATAAAACAGGGTAGAGCCAATATTTGAACCCAGACATTCAAGAACCTCTGCTCTTTACCTATACTGTGGGCTACAGGTGGCTATTCCTAGGAATGATGGGCTGTTCTTTTTGTATTATAAACAGTGACTGCCCATGGTCGCCTATTTATGATAAAGCTAATCTAAACTAGGTGTTTTAGTCTGAGATTATATGTTATGTCCTGGAAACCAAAGCAGGCAAGAGGATTGAGAATTCCAATAATACTTTTGTTTAACTTTTGAAAATATTAAATCTATAACAAGATACACTATGATCTTGAGTTAAATAACCTAAATTACAAGCATTAAGAACTACAAGTGATCTATCACTGTGGTTTTAGCCTTTTCTCTGACTCTACATATCAGCCAATGACCTACCATAGTTAGTAACAGAGGCCAACATTGTAACCAAGATTCTCAAGGTAAAGAGAGAGAAATGGCCTCCCTTCCTTCAAGGAGCCCATGAAAAAAGCTATAGGTACATATCAAAGCTCCCTGTGTGACTTTAGAGACCTCTCTCCTCCCCCTAGGAAGCATGTTCTCTCATCCCAAAGGTTTGAGAATTTTTGATATATAGAAAGATAATAAATAATAACACTTATTGAATGATTTCTGAGCCAGGCGCTGTTCTAAGAATACATTCAATCTTATAATTTATGAACTATATTAATATTCCCATTTTATACACAAAGAAACTGAGGCACAGATAATTTAAGGAACTTACCCACAGTCACGCATCTAAAAATGGTTGAGCCTGACTCTGAACTCAGAATATCTGATTCTAAAACAGAACACTTAATCACTGTACTATATTATTTCTAACTAGTCCACTGGAATAATTACATAATTATAAGAAAATCATCAAAGCAAATATGAAAAATCTTCAAACTGATAATGCAGTTGCTCTGCCCAGGTCTAAAGAAGGAAAACTTACTTCATAAATATAACAACAATCTAAGATGAACCTTGGCTTATAAAACTGTCCTTTAGGCCTTAGGCACTCTCTCCCTCTATCTGTCTGATTTTTTCATAATTTTACCTTGCTCTAAATAACTATACTAACTAGTCTTGATTGTGTCCAAGTGTCAAAGTGCCACTGTTGTAGAAATCAATTAACTCTAGCACATGCTTTTCTTTTTCAGATTTAATTTTTCTATTCATTAAAAAATGATAAATTAAGATGACATATCATGTATTTATTTTAAAAACATGTAAAGGCAATAACATGAATGAAGAATTCTTCATTCATGTTATTGCTTTTTAGTCATAATTTGGTCATAATTATGACTAAATTCAAAGACAGAGATGAATCTCATGAATATCATATTTCACAAAAGAAGCCAGATGCATAGAACACAAACTGTATGACTAAATTTATATAAAGTGAAAAACCAGGCAATCTGACCTATGGCGTTAGAATTCAGGACAGTGGCTACCCTTGGAATGGGGTACAAGGTAGCTTCTGGGGCTCTATCACCATCTTGTTTCTTGATCTGGTTAATGGCTACAAAAATGTTTTATTTTTTGAAATTCACTGAGATTTACAATTAGGTTTTGTGTACTTTTACACTATGTATACTTCAATACAAGAGTTTACATTAAAAGGCAATAGTTCATCCAAAGTTCCCATTTTGTTAACTTTACAACTTCCGGAACTTCTCACTTCCAGAAGAATATAATTAATTTGTTTCATAAATAAAGCTCAAAATATCTCTACATAAGATGGTAAAATTACCATTTTCTCATCTAGAAAATGTTTTATGAGATATTTTTAAAGTCAGGTTTATTGAGGTATAATTTTATACAGTAAAATGTGCAGTTCTACAATTTTTGATAAGCATACCCTTTTGTACAACCATCACCATGATCAAGATAGAAGAGTAGTTCCATTATCTCCTCAAATTCTCTCTTTCCCTTTTCTAGTCAACATTATCCCCCAGTCTCTAGCCCCTGGCAACATTTCTCTCCTGATAGTTTCACCTTTTCCAGAATGCCATGTGAATGGAGTCATACGGTATGTGGTTTTTAAGTCTGGTTTCTTTCATTTAGTGTAACATATTCGAGATTCATCCATGTTGTTGGGTGTTTCAGCAGTTTGTTCCTTTTTATTATATTGCTGAGTAGTATTACAATATATGGATATGCCCCAACTGAAGAACAATTGAGTAGTTTCCAGTTTTGAGTGATTATGAAAAAGCCACTACAAACATTAATATATAGGTTTTTGTGTAGAAATGAGTCTTATGTTTTGTTTTTTAATTTCAAGTTATACTTTTACCTGCAAAAAATATTTTCTATATTGCTTTTATGTTAATTCTTATAACTGAAGAATATGCCAACCAGTTAAAAATAATCTAAGATCAGAAATTGAATTAAATTAAATAATGAACATTAGCATAGATCAACTTTTGCAAATTCCTTCATTACAAATATTTTTGTAATAATCTACTGAATTAAGAGAAAATATAGTCTATCAAATTTCTATATTAATAACTCAAAATTCTATTTAGACTACAAAAATTAAAAATCGAGGCCGGGTGTGTGGCTCACACCTGTAATCCCAGCACTTTGGAAGGCCAAGGTGGGCAAATCACCTGAGCTCAGGAGTTTGAGACCAGCCTGCCTAACACTGCAAAACCCCATCTCTACTAAAAATACAAAAATTGGCCAGTCATGGTGGTGGAGCCTGTAATCCCAGCTACTTGGTAGGCTGAGGCAGGAGAATTGTTTGAACCCAGGAGGTAGAGGTTGCAGTGAGCCAAGATGGTGCCACTACACTCCAACCTCAGCAACAGAGCAAGGCTCAGTTAAAAAAAAAAAAAATAGTGCCACTAACTTGGACTCTTGTATCACAATGAATGAAGAATAAAGAAGTAAGAAAGTTGGCTTGAGAAAGAAAGTGTTTTATGCCTCTTTTGAAACTTTCTAATTTGATACATTAAATTTATAATATATTTAAACTCATAATATATTATAAACTTTACCCCACTGGTTAGCACTTTTTGTTCATAGTAACTAGGAAAGGATTTGAGCCACAAAATGGAAACATGGTAGATGTTACCTAGCATGTTGTGGTAAAGTGGAATGGCCCGTCCATGGGTAGTAAATGCAGTCATGACTAGTGGGACCGTTACACCTGCAGGCAATTACAGAACAGAAAACATCATTCTCCATCCACAGTGACATGCACACACATGCACCAGTGCTCACACATGGAGCCTTAGAAGAAGAACATGGGAAGCAAGCACACCAAGTACCTATCCATCAGGCCAATGCAGTCTTCAATACTTGAGCCTATGCACCTGCAGAAGATGCAAATTTAAAAAAATACAAGGAGAGAAAAATTAGTCATTTAAAAAATCAGTAAAATAAATATTGATTGTCTTGAATTCTTATAAATAACTATTAGACTATTTTGGAACACAGTGAATTTCAGGCTAGCAAGAAGATTTTTGCTTGATGAATACACAGAAATGAATTGCTGTTACCAACAAACCAGAATGCAAAGAAATGTCCGCAGTAAGAGAAAATTTTACACTGGTTCTATGAATAACTTCCAAACACACAGCTCACTTCGATACTTTCAATTCATATGTGATTACATGTCTTGACAAATAAGTTAATATTTCAATGACTATAATTGTTTTGAAGTTTATGGTTGCTTCTGAAAAGCCTTAAGTTTAAATACAAAAACAAATCAATAAGAAAAACATGAGCAATTCAATATAATATAATATAATATAATATAATATAATAAACTGATGCTCAATACTCATTAAAGATTGATTTTGGCAGAAAATGAGTCAACATTTTTAATGCCATTTTCATGGATACTTTACATAATCACATTATTCTGGTTCTTGGTTGTGTCTTTAAAACATACTTATCTTTAAACATGAATTTATTTAAAAAGCAAATTAACTGGTTTCACCATACTGCAGTTTATCTTGACACTCTCTTTTAAAATAGCAATACCGTAACAGGCAAATAAAAATAGGTTTTTAAACTACCATAATAATGAACTCAAACGATAACAGATAAATAAATACTCTGCAAGGAAATGAATAAATTGAGACCCAGGTAAGTAAAGAATACACTGAGATTAACATTTAAATGGAATTACGTAAGTACACAGAATTTCAATGTACTGTCCTTAGAATTTCATTTTGAACTAATATAGAAGTATTATTTCTATCTTCCAATACACCTGAACTGTTTTTCTTTTCTTTTCTCCCATCAAAGACATATAGAACATTAGCAAGATTCTTCCTACACTTATGTTTTATAAAAGTGCCTTATTTCTCTGGTAATAAAGATTACATATATTTTCAAACTTTTAATTTTCAAATTTGAAAAAGAAGCTGAAGTTAGGATCATAATATAATGATGTAAAAATGTCCCTATGTATAAGGCCAGTTTATCTGTTATATCTTTAAATAACTCTAAATATTGGTGAACTAATATAACATACCCATAATAACAATTAAGTCACTTATTTCTCTGTTATAACATTCCTGCTAGCTGAAAAAGTGGTTCCTTTTTTTTTGTTTTGAGTAGCACAGACAAATTTTAACCTATAGAAATAGAGAAAATACACCTATGTGAAGTCTTTTAAAAAGCATCTAAAAAGAAAAAAAAAAAAACTAGAGTACATAGCATTATATTGGTATTATATATAATCTATAGTCAAAATCATTTCTAAAAATGGAAAATTAACTGCTAAAAAGGCTTCCAGTTTGTCTTACATAGTTTTCTTTTTATTATATTCTAAAGAATTTGCTGTTTCTAAGTTCCTATTCGATCCTCTTGAAAATTATTTTTATATCATATTATCATTTTATAAAATTAAAAGTCTTCTTCTTGCTTCCAAGTGAGAATCTAAAAAGCTATGATTAGTTTGCAATAAATCTTTATAAAAACCCTTGAAAGATCTAAAAAAATTTCAAAAGTGAAATTCAACTTTAGGGAAAAGTGTGAATATGAAAGATTCTCATTCATTAAAAAAAGCCCTGTGTTACAGATCTACTAAGTGTTCCTAGTACTCTAAGAGTTAGAGGGAGAAAAAAATATGAATTAGACATTTTTCTATTCTCAGTGAGCTCTGAATTTAATGAAGGAGACAGGTGCACAAACAGATGTGTATTGAATAATGTGAAAAAAGAAACACGAAAAAGTGGTTCAGGGTAGTGTGGAGGGGGGACACCTAGAGCAACCCAAGAAGGACATGGTAGGAAGCTGAGGTTTAGAGTGCTATGAGCTAGGGTTGGGGTGGTGGTGGTTTCTGCAAGAGCAAAAGCACATGCCTGAAGAAATGTATTGTATATGCAAACAACTGCAAACATTTCTTAGTAGTTGGAGAGCAAAATATGAGGCAATAGACAGGAGAAAAAAGAAGCTAGAATATTAGATGGGAGCCAAATTTGGAGAAAGATTTGCTCAGTAACAATCAATAGAAAATCAGTACAGGGTTTTAAAGAAGTAGTACAGTTGCCAGATTTGTATTTTCAATAAATCTCCTTGCCCTGTGGACACCAGTCAACTGGCACCCAGGCTGACTCCTTTGGCGTAAAGACTATTTTTAGTCCATGTTAGAGATGATGGACTCAACTAGGGAAATGGTAACTGTGATGAAGGCAGAGGAACAGATTCAAGAAATATCTTAAAAGATAGAGGGAATACAAAAGGGAAGGTGATCCTTGATTCGATAAAAGTGAAAAGATCAATGGATCTTTAAGAAGATTTACATTCTAGCTTTGATAATAGTGGTACCATCATTGAAAGAACCCAAGAGGAAGAATATGTTTCTTCCTGTATGTGTTACGGGATGAGGGGTTGATAATTTCTGTTTTGTGTATGTAGAGTTTAGTATGGTTGTCCTAGGTATAAATGTTTATCATAGGTATAAATGTTTATCAGCAGTTGGAAAGATGAGTGGCTAAGGGGGAAAGAACCATGAGTATAATGATCAGTTTTGAAATAGCATGTAGGAGAAAGTTGAGACCATGTAAGTGAATAGATGGCTAAAGGAGACATAAAAAAAGAAAAGCAGAGGCTGAAGATGGAAACCCAAGGAACCCCAACAGCATATAACATGAGTTCTTTGTGTCAGAAGCATGGGAAAATATAATTGAAAATTGAATAAAACCAATTAACTGTAGTCTCAAGAAAGTCAAATCAGAAAAGAACTTTAAGAAAAAGGGGGTGATCATCAGTGTGAAATGCAGAGAAGTCTGGTAAAATAACTCTTAAGAGAATTTTAATTGTCATTGTCCTGGTCGCAAGAATGTAGGTTTTTATGAGTTGAGAAGCAAATTGGAAATAGAAAAATAGAGGCAGAGAGAAATGGGGGGTGGGGAGGGACTGAAGAAGCAGGACTTAGGATCAAGAAAAGTTGTTGAAGGGATTTCGTAGGATATTTGAGATTTAAGCCTATTTTTAAACTGAGGATGAAAGACAAAGAAAGATAAGAATATGACTGAAGTGCATCACCTTTTCTAAACACAAGCCGCTGAAAACTAAATAATGTATATTGTTTTTCAACTCTTTGTATTTTCTGTAAGCAACTAATTAGTACATGCCATTTTCATCCATTCAGCAAGATAATAAAACAACAGAGATACTAAACTTTTTAAGAGCCCAAATCACAAAGTAATAACTGAATCAAAATCTAGAATAATAGAACTCTAAAAATAAGTGTTTCAAAGTAGAATACTTACAGGCAGATCAGAAAAATAAAACACAACATGTGTGACAATTTCTAAAACAATATCTAAAGTTCTGAATATTAAACCTATGTTGGTATATAATGACGTATAAGTTCCTTGATGTACTCCTAACCAACATAGTTTAGATGATTAAATCTTTAAATTTTGAAATAAAAATACAGGAAATTTTAAAAAATTGTTCATTAAAAGATTATAGACAATACTTCTACAAGTAGCCCTTCTTTCCATCTCTTCGTCAATAAAAAATCTTTTGTTATATAAGTTTAAGAATATTTTTTAAATTGATAAAAAAAAAGGATTGAGGTACATGTGAAATTTAATAATATGAAATCACTATTCTAATATCAACAAAAACATGCAATGAGATTTTTTCAAAAGATGCCCATGAAATAACATTTCGTTACAAGTCTAAAATGCAGGTTTAGTTTGATACAAAACCAAAATTAAACTGACAATAAATTTGCACATACTCAAGTGATGTTAGTGAGGAAACAATCATCTTTGCCCTCATCATAATTTAATTACTTTAGTTTATAAATCTTTAAAAAATTTTTCTATCTTGCTAATTTCAAATCTGAGCATCACTCTTAAGTTTTATTGCTCATCATTTCAAAATACTGTGGAGCACGGTCTAATGTCTAACAAAGGATATAAATTAGAGAATATACATTCACTGGACTGTGAGTTCATAGAGGTCAGGAGTTGTGTCTTGCTCATTTCTGAATTTTCCTATCACTGTATGTGATGCAGAGCAGATATCCAATATAACAAAGTTGAAGAATGAATAAAATGAGGAAAGGCTGTTAAAATAAAAATTCTCTAGTTAGGGTAAGAAGAGACAATCTTGTTGTTTCCATGGGTATTAGTGAAAATCTTCTGATAAGAGCTAAATGAATGACCTATTTTAAAAGTGTTAGATAACTTGTTAGAGCCATTATATTTAATGTACTCTTAGAGTGGTAAAAGTGCTTTTAAAGTATGACACAGATAACTTTATTTTCAGAAAAAATCATTAAACAGTATTCAAAGTCAGAACTTTACTTCTAAAATATGTGATTTGAAAGACTATTTCCATTAACCTGGTTCTTGAATTATCTGACATCATATAGGCATATAAAAGAAAAGCTGCTTTCCAAAGTGGAACTGGCCTGCTGAGCTCACTTACTGATAAGTTGATTATTACCTGTGTTTAGGAATAAAAATAGTCACTTGTTCCATCATCCCCACTGCTCCTGTGGTTTTCCTAGGAAAATATCATTATCTCTATGTGCTCAATTTGGAAAAAAGGGATTGACTGCACAGAACACCTTATTGCTTCAGTAAAAGGTCTCAAAGTACAAGGGTTGCACTGTAGTAGAGTATATATGAGGATTTAGGAATTTAGGAATCACATCCTTGGGAAATTTCTGGGACTAGAATACTCTGGGACTGGAACCACAGCATTTTAATGAAGTGAATGAATCTGGACAATATAGAAGGTATTTTAAAAACAAGATGGGCCGGACGCAGTGGCCAACACCTGCAATCCCAGCACTTTGGGAGGCCAAAGGGGATGATCACGAGGTCAAGAGATTGAGATCATCCTGGCCAACATAGTAAAACCCCACCTCTACTAAAAATACAAAAAATAGCTGGGCGTGGTGGCATTAGCCTGTAGTCACAGCTACTCGGGAGGCTGAGGCAGGATAATCGCTTGAACCCAGTAGGTAGAGGTTGTAGTGAGTCAAGATCACACCTCTGCACTCCAGCATGGGGACAGAGCGAGACTGTATCTCAGAACAAAAACGAAAACAGGATGGCAGAAATTTAAATGAAAACAGAGACAAAAATCCTTCAGGATTAAGTCAGTCATTAGAGAATGCATTTACCTTGGAAGATGCCAGGGAGCACAATACTCAAGTTCTGTCTCAACTTAATTCTGCAGCTGCAAATTGTTAAAGTCGTTTTTTTTCTATTCACTTGGAGTTCCCAAATGCTCTAGTGAGATTTGCTCCCCATTACACCTTCATCCTTCCTTTTGACTGAAATCCAGATTTTGTTACTACCATATATTAATCTCTTTTCATTGCCTCTTAGTTCTACTTCTCCCCACTATATATGTTTATTATTTTTATATAATAATGATTTAAAAGGGCAGAGAGGAAGACACACCAGCCACGTATCCAGACTATGGCTCTGTGATCTCACTTTCATTTCCCTAATGGCTTCATTGTAATTAGATTTGCAAAAACAGCAAAAGGTCTCATTTTGAATGGCAACAGCTGTTGACATCGACATTATATTGAATAATTTACTGGTTTAATTTTAGCTGCAAAACAATAAAACTCTCTTGTGGATGATTTTAGCAGGCAAAGTTTTCTCTGTCTGGTGCTGACTCTTTCTTCTGCTCCAGCAGGACCAGTTGTTTTTTTGTGAAACACTCTTAACTCAAGTGTGCCAAAAACTCACAAGGATAGCAGTTTATTACCTCTAGTTTCTTTGAAGCAAAGTGTCTATGTGACTATTTCAGTACCTTAAACGTATACGTGCTTATATATGAACCAATGAGTTGGCAGCTACCTCTTCCAAGCTGAATTTGAATTTGAATGGGATAATATTACTTTACCTTTCCAGGATCTGCCACTTCACAGAGTGAATTAAGCTTATTTCTTGACCTGCAGGAAATTGTAGCAGCATCTGCAAATTGATGTTTTCTTGGCAAGATATGATGTCGCTTGCTTAACTTCTTCAGTATCCCCTAACTGCTAGTCCTTAATCTGGCAGAAAATCTCTTTATGGAATCTCACACTTTCCTGCCAGATAAAAAGTACCCAAGCTGATTCTCAACTACAAGTTTGTGTGTGTGTGTGTGTGTGTGTGTGTGTGTGAGTGTGTGTGTGTGTGTGTGTGTGTGTGTGTGTGTGTGTGTGTGTGCGCGCGCGCATGCGCGCGCGCACATGTCTATGAGCATTCACAATGGAGAAAAGGCTTTATGGACAGAAGGAGGATAGCAAACGTAACACTGCTTTCAATTACAAATTATTCACCTTCTGGAGGAATAAAAAAGAAAAATCCTTACTAAGATTTGTTGTTGGAATTTGTTAGATGAGTGACATTATTTCTTTTACAGCTCAGTGCTTTTCTTCTTTCTGTGATGTGTCTTTGTTATTCAACTGTTATCAATATCAAAGGTAACCTAATTATTATTCATTGCAAAATGCATTTTTTGAAAAACAGAAAAATGTTTACCAAGCTTTAGATTGTCACATATCAACGAATTTCAAGACTATAGGATTACCTGTTACAAGGTTACTTTCACAAAATGTATTTCTTTAAATATACGTATCACTAGGTTCCCTTTCTTCCTGCCATTGTTACTTTGTTCATATGTTTTTGAAGGAGTAATTTAAGGTAGTATATATCAAAGAGAAATATCCTCACCTTAAGCTGATGTCACAACAAAAAAAAACAGAAATAGAAGCCTTCTGTTAAAGATTTTATAAACACAAACCTCAAAGCATGGTTACTGTCATTTTTTTTTTGAGATTTTGAATCTCCAATATAATTTGGAAGAGTTTCTAAAATGCATCCAAGGTATACTTGACACTAGCTTCACGAAAGTGTTGATAGAATGGTTATAGGCAAAAGCTAAGCAGAAATATTGAGGAGTGTACAAAGTTGATTCATTAAAACATTCTCTTAGTATTTCTCTTAAAATCAGCATTTTATATATAAGGCTTAGTAGAGTTCTAGGAGACTGTTATACATTTCAGAAACTATACCAGGGATAAGAATACCTGTGGATAACACATACCAGGTAAGTCCCTGGCCAGCAAGGATGCTTACCCTTGCGTGCAGTTTGGATGGCATGGGTGGCACTCCCGATCTGGATCAGCATACTTGAAAATGAAACTGTTTGCCCCCTGTAAGCCATCTGGACATTTTTCCACACAGTTTGGGCCATCTTTAAAATGAGAGCACTTTGTACAGTTGTCAGGACCCTTAAATGTGAAGAAGAAAAAAAAAAGAAGAAGAAAGAAAAGTGGGTGTCATTTCCTCTGGAATGTATTCACATGGTTTAGTTACTGAGAATTCAGTAGGTGGCAAATCTTCCTCTAAGAGAATTGGAGAACATTTTCAGCAGTACAAATGTGGATGTAATTTTTGTAGTACAAACAGCACAAAGAAGATCCTTCAAGTTCAGTTTTGATATCCTGTATGTGTGAAAACACTATAATAATATATTTGTTCTTGAAATATTTTCCTTTTCGACATAAGCAGTTCCTGGGCCAACTGATTTTCATGTCATGACTTTAATGTGAGTTAATTTAACCAGCATAATTATCCAATGACTTTTTCAAAAGAATGTCAGTATTTTCTTTTTGTGATTTAATTCTGGCAATATTATAGTGCCACAATTTTTAGTAAAACACATTTTCCCTGGAGGTATTTCATCACCATCACTGGGAATATATGAATGCTCTTACTAAATAGTTAATGAGAAAAAGGATATAACAAAAATTAACTAAAACTGAATTTCATATAAGAGTAGGGTGTAAACTTTCCTTTGTTGTACAATGACTTTATTTATAAAATGAATTTTAAAATTTGTTATAGCATTATCAGGAATTAGGCAGCTCAGGTGAATAAAAATAATTCCTAGATTATTATTTGTGTCATACCCACTTGTAAAAGCTAAAAGTAATGTTATGTCTTTTTATGGGGATTTTAGTAAATCACAGAACAATACTGAAAGCCATATAAATGCACATTTTGATGAGCAAAATAGACCATAATAATATAGCAAATACATACAAACAAAGTCTCCATGGAGAAATCTATTCAAGGATAAAGATAATATAAATATGAGTGTAATAAATGTAAATAAAACATACTCTATATACTTATGTTTATAATATATATTAATTTTCTAATATATAGGATGTTAAGAAATAATATGAAAATATATCTAAAAGTCATGACAAAATTAAGATGTTAAAACTAAAACATATATGAATTTTACAGAATACAAGCTGATTTGGATCTGGTACAGTGGACAGTAAGCATACTAGAAATAGGTATATCCTCAGAGCAAAGAAAATTTAGAACACTTTGATGAATGCCATCTTTCTTAAAAGACATCCCCAAAGTTTTCACACATTCAGCTGTTGTGAACATCAGCTACTTGAAATGTACTTTGACATCTCCTTTTTGGACACCTATTGTCTTAAAATTCCTCTCCTCTTTGACTGCTCCCCTTTGGAACATCTTCCCCTGACCCATTTCTCCCTAAGATCTAGCTATGTACACAGAGTTCAATAATGATTACAGTTCACAATGAAGACAACTTAAATAAATAAGGTAGAGTAAGTATGCAGAGAGACAATTATATCACATTTATAGTTATAAACAATGAGAAAGTCAGGAGTTAACACTAAATTACACAGAACTGTGTATTTGGTAGGGACTGTAAAGAAAATATGAGTACCTTATAGTCTAAAACAGAGTGTCCAGTGGTTTGGCTTCCCTGGGCCACATTGAAGAAGAATTGTCTTGGGCCACACAAAAAATACTAAAGCTAATGATAGCTGATGGCTGATGAGCAAAAACAAACAAACAAAAAAACAACTCATAATGTTTTGAGAAAGTTTGTGAATTTGTGGTGAGCCACATTCAAAGCTGTCCTGGGCTGCATGTGCCCACAGGCTAAACGTCGGGCAAGCTTGTCCTCCGCAAATGTTAATCCAAGAGCAGACAGATATTACAAATTGGTTATTTAAGGCATCAGGAAATCAAGAAATACGATATTTTAAAATTTTAAAATGGAGGTGTGTGAATGGAAAATAGTAGTGTAAAGAAGAAAAAGTAATCAGGAAGAGGTTTCTGGAAATTCTGAGACTGGTGTGGTTCAATCAAGCACTGTCTATTTCACTATTTTGATGTGAGGCTCAGAGCTTGAAAAAAAAAAGCCTATGAAACCTGATACTTATTCTATATGAGGAATCTGCTAATGGTAACTTCTTATTTCTTCCAAAAAAGAATACTTCACATGCTTCCAATTTTAACACTTGCTCATGGGTACTTAGGCATGTAATAATGTCTATTACACAGAATCACTTACTGTGCAAGTATGCTCAGTACCATGACTTATTGTACAAGACAAGAGACATGCTGATGTCTTCTTGTAGCATACAGAATAAAACTATGAGTAAATCAGGCAGTTAGAGTCTGAGCTAAGAATTAGGAATTATTCTTCTAAGTAATGTAAATGTATTTTTCTTATAAATGTAAAATCATGTCCAAGTGAAGTCAAAAGGTATAAAGTCATGAAAGTAAAATCAAGTTCTGATTTTATCTTTAAGTATACTGTAGTAAGATAATTTACTTTTTGTTTTTTGTTTTTTAAGCATCTTTTAACTATAGTCATGTGACACTTAATGATAGGGATATATTCTGAGCAATGCATCACTAGGTGATTTCATCATTGCGTGGATACCACATAGTGTACCTACACAAACCTATATGGTGTAGCCTACTGCACTCCAAGGCCTTATGGTATAGCCTTTTGCTCCTAGGATATAAACATGCACAACATGTCACTGTACTGAATATTGTAGGTGACAGTAATACAATAATAAGCATGTGTATATCTAAACATATCTAAATATAGAAAGGGTACAGGAAAGGCATGACACTATAATTATATGGGAACACCATTGTATCTGTGGTCCATCACTAACTGAAATGTCGTTTTAAAGTGCATGACTGTAATTGATTGTATTATCATGACAGAAAACCTAATGTCTTAGGCAGACATGACTAAAAACATCCTGGCAAATCTCAGAAAAAGAAACGTACTGATTTTCCATCTCATTTCCATAATAAAGAGACTTTAAAAATGCCTGTGCCTAATGTTTACTCTTCTCTCATTATATTCCCAAAGGCCTTAAGAACCTCAGTGCAATAAATGCATTGATCAATGTGATAATAGAAAATGAAGGTCAAGGCAACATTCCTTCTTATCCCTAATTCTAAGCTACCTCTGAATTCAATAATCTAGGCAGACAATTAAAGGATAGACTGACTCCTTGTAGAAGTACCACTTTTTTTTTTTTTTTTTTTTTTTTTTTCTGAGTGACCACTGATGTTTTCCTCTGGTAGCTACTGGAAAAGACAAGGTTATTATTCACCAGTAGCCAATTACCTTCTGCTTCCAGTCACAAGAGAAGACTATAATTCTCCTCCCACAAGAGATAAGGTATGGCTTAATTTGGACAATGAAATATAATTAGAGGTGCTCATGAGATAACCAGTGCTTAACTCTCCAGCCTTCTCTTTCCGCTGCCATGACTCACAGACCTCATGGAGAAGTACAAGTGCCATAAATTAAAAGCATCCCAGAATGTTGGGCCATAACAGAATGGGGAGCTGCCTTAGAACATTTCCCAGATTTCCAGCGTACTTTACAAGGTGGCCGGGCATGGTGGCTCACGCCTTTATTCCCAGCACTTTGGGAGGCCTAGGTGGGCAGATGACTTGAGGCCAGCAGTTCAAGATCAGCCTGGGCAACAGGGTGAAACCCCCTCTCTACAAAAAACACAGAAATTAGCCAGGCATGGTGGCACATGTCTGTAAACCCAGCTACTCAGGAGACTGAGGCACAAGACTCACTTAAGCCCAGGAAACAAAGGTTGCAGTGAGCTCAGATCACACCACCACACTGCAGCCTGGGCGACAGGCTCTGAAAAAAGGAAAGGAAAGGAGAGGAGAGGGGAGGGGAGGAGAGGGAAGGTGAGGAGAGGGGAGGGAAGGAGAGG